TAAAATAAGATTTGATGCTCAATATTCTCAGCGCCACAAATAACATCATATGCATAGTGCAACCTTTCTACTAAGATTGTTGTGCAATATTCAATAAATCATAGAATTGTTGTGTTTCATTATTTGGTGTTCGATTTTCACCATGAACACTCCCAACAAAATGAGCCATACAGGCATCATAAGTTAGTTATTTGTATGTGCCAAGATCCTATTTCGTTGGAGGAGCATAACTTAATGAGACACCAATATAATAATCTGAACATCTGATACATACTAAAAATATGTAGCACAATACCAAAAATTTGGTTTATGCCCCTTGCGGTAGGTTTAACCTGACTTCTTCAGGTGTTAGGTACGCTTAAGTTTTGTGCTTCACAGAATGGTGTCATAACTTACATTCTGAAAAGTAAATGGACAGCTGTGATTTCACTTGCACAAATTCCTCAACACCATGCAAGAACTCATCAATGAGTCTTTTTTCTTTGTGGATATAACCTATTATACATTCATAATCTCAAATTTTGAATATACATTTACTGCATATATGCAGATTTATGGATTAATATGTTAAGATATCAGTCGTATATACATTTCTTATGTATTGGATATTTAACACCCAAACTTAAATCATTACGTACAAACCACACACAATGTGTATGCATTACATATGTAATAACTAAACTTCAAATTTAACATAGAAACCATAAAAATCTTATGTATTAGACATCGAGCACTTAAGCTTCAATTTTTACATACAAACCACACAACTCTTATATATTACATATCTAACACCCAGGTTTCAATTTATTTATATACAAACCACACAATTCTTATTTATTACATAGGTGTTACGTATATAAAACCTAAACTTCAATATTGCAGAAGTTGAAAGTTCATTTTATTATAGAAAAATTGAATGACCATATATAAAACCTAAACTTCAATATTGCAGAGATTGAAAGTTCATTTTATTATAGAAAAATTGAATGACAAAAGAAGTGATGGCAAAAGAACCAACATGATATAAGATGTAAGAAGAGATGGAAGAGAGCTATTAAAGTTGATGTGGAGATGGATTACTTTGATGATAACGCCACTAAAATGGAATGAAAATAGAAGATGAGCAAGGATAAAGCTAATGGTAGAGCTGCACACTCGAAGACATGGGAACGAGCAAAAACTTAGTTGTATTTAGCCCACTTGTAATTTAAATATGATTAGTTTTTATCATAGTGGGAGAAGAAAAGAACATTTATACTCCTACCACCTAATTTCTATTTATTTATCTAACACCTAAACTCTAATTTTTATATTTGTTACTGTTGTGAGATATGTACTTCCTAACATAGAAATTAAACGCAAAGAACACAAGCAAACACAGATCGTTTACGTGGTTCGATCCAACTTGATCTACGTCCACGGGAGGGAATCAATCAAATAGTTCACTAAGGCAAAAGAAATGGAGAATACATAGCTTATACATAGAGATGAGCCTTCATCTTCCTTCTATGGCCTCCCTCTCAAGCGACACCTTGATATAAGGCCTCAAGATGCTCTTCTCATCTCTAGCTCTCTAGCTATTCTCTCCTCCTTTGTGGTGGCTTAAGATCTCTTCCCTTTCTCTCCTAAGTCTCACACCCTTAAAATGTCTTCCCTTGCCCTCCTAAGCCTCACACCCTCTCTATTTATAGAAGCAAGAGAGTGGTAGGTGGGAGGTATGTGAGCGGTAGGTGAACGGTAGGTGAACGGTAGGTGAGATATGGTAGGTGAGCGATACTACATTACAAAAGTACTTTTTTACCTTAGTTCATTAATTGGGGGTCAAAATAACAGTAACTACAAATTTTTCATATCATATAAAAAATATTGCTATGTTAACTTTTTATAGAGTGAAATATAACTTTTCATGCATAGGCAAAATGAGATATATGTAAGACTTTAAGCATGTAGATGCATAGGATTTATGTGTATGTATGTAAATCTTCCTTAAAATTTTGCTTCCATGAACACCAAGGCACTATTTTCATTAATCACTTCTTTTACTCAATAAAAAATTTTAGTATTCTTAGATTGAAAGATCATTTTATTGCAAAAAAAATTATCTTAAACTTCAATATTTACATAGGAACCACACAAATCTTATGCATTACATTTCTGACACCTAAACTTATAAATATTTCACATACAAACCACATCATTTTTATATAGAAAAACCTAAATTCCATTGTTTACATACTCTTCACACAACTCCTATGTATTACATGTCCAACACCTAAATTTAATTCTTCTCATACATTCCCTAAACCTTTTACCTTACATAACTAACACCTAATCTTCAATTTTTCCATACAAATCTCACAATTCTTATGTATCACTTGTCTAACAACTAAATTTCAATATTTACATACAAACTAACACCTAAAGTTATAAATATTTCACATACAAACCGCGCCATTCTTATGTAGAACATATGTAAACTCCATTTTTTTTCATACATTTCACACAGCTCATATGTATTACATATCGAACACCTAAACTTCAAATTTTTCACACATTTCTTAAACCTTATACCTTACATATCTAAGATCCAAACATCAATTTTATCTATGAAAATCGGACAAGTCTTATGTATTACGGTCTAACAACTAAACTTCAATATTTTCATTTAAACCACACAATTCTTATGTATTACATAATAACACCAAAACTTTAATATTTTCGCCCAAAAAGAAGCAATCTTTAGGGAAAAAAATGAACGAGAAGATCGGAAAATGAGAGGAGAAGCTCACCTAAACTTGCAGTGGATGAGGGCTCGCCGGAGACGTGATTTCTCCATAGAAAAGCTGCAGACGCTCATTGGAGAAGTGCTATCACTGGAGCTGCCTATCAAACACTGAAGAGGGTGTGAATAAGCTAGGATGCACAAGATTAGAATTTTAGGACACATGCATCGACGTTACCATCTTATGACAGTCGCAAATTTGACATTACCATTACCAGTTCAATGCTATTAAGTGAAGTATTACGTTAGCAACTTGTCAATGCTAATGTTGTCTTAAAATATTTGCAGCAACTTATAGGCGACCTTAATATTAACGCAAACATCTTATATCAAAATTATTCGACACACAACCTTAATGACGCTAAACAATCACAAATCTAACGCTAAAATTTACTTTGAAAATTGTTTGACACTAATTAGCTGATTTCCTGTAACAACAAATCTAAGTAATCACGGTGATTCGATAATAAAATAATGATGGAATCAAAGCTACATTTTAAAAATGTGGCTCGCTATTCAAATAAATGTTCACCTTGATTTGAGTCGGTCACTGACTTGCCAAATACATCCAATTGGACTCCCTCAACTCTAGAAATGTTAAGAAATTGTTCCTTTTTTCCTTACATTAAATGCACCATGGCCATTATGATGAACTACTTGATATATCTTACTTTATCACTTTTAAAAGGCTTTTGATTTTCTTCTTTATTCCTTGTCCTCTCTTTATATCCTCCAATATTGATGGATGCATTTACCTCATACAAAAAGTAAATTGATGTTGACAACATGACCTTCGACATATTTTCTCTACTTGTTACGCAGGTGGCCCCACTGAGATCCAGCTTTAGAGGATTTCTAATTTTCTAGAATTCATTTTTATTTTTTATAAATATGCATGATTAAGTATCTCTATGTCATCAATATGTTTAGCTGTGAATAGGGAGTGAATGATGTGTGCGCTGTTTAATAAATTTTTTTTAAAAAAATTTAAAATAGGGTCCACTGACATACACTTTTGGTGGAATGAGTATTTTGATTGGTTCACCGCACACATTCGTGCGGTGAACTCACGCAATAATTTTTTGTGAATAGGACCGGCGGAGGTGGAAGTGGTTCAAGAGGGGTGTTTCACTTCAGTCATGCAGCTCAAGCAGGTGAAGTGAAGAGGGTAGAGATAGATAGTTTTCTGGACGAGTATCCAGCTTGAAAGCATTTTTGCTTTTCAGCTCTCACTTTTCATGTGATATAAAAGGTGTGGGTGTTATAAATGTAAAAAAGTAAGGATTAAGTGTTTGATTTGTAAATACATGAGAATTAGGTGTTATGAATGTAAATATCTTATTTTTTTGGAAAATTTACATACATGTCACTAAATTATTATGTATGTATGTATCTAATACCTAAACATAGGAATTAGTGTGCTTTTTGTAGACTCATACAGGGAACCTTCGGCACACTCCAAAGGTAGGCATAAATAATTGGTGTCACTTGAATTGGTATTGCTATTGTCGATCCCAAGATGTGGTAACTGTACCAATTGCAAACAGAATAACATTTTATCTGGGCTTGGATGGTGTTGTATTTGATTAACTTTAAAATCATTGGGCTTCTCTTATTGAGTTGGTTAGTTTAACTATGAATTAGTTAAAATCAGGGCCCAAATAATCTTAAATATGAATTTGAAAGATCTTTTATTAAAAATGCACTGAGATTTGTAATTAATGATAAAAATATCTTTATGACACATCATTATGATAATGCACATGAATTTTATTATAACTTTTAAATAAATATTAAAAAATTATTTAATAGTACCTTTTTTTTATAAAAAACGATAGAACTTCAATTATTTTGAATATAATATTTTTTATTTTAAGTTGCATATATAAACAGGAAAATTAATTTTTATTTATTTACTTTGCAGACAATCAAACAATTAGAGACATATTACACTACAATTATAATACATTTTATTTTATTTTACTCCTCTGTATATATTTTTTTTCCAGATAGCCAAACAACCTCTTAATTAAACACAGTACCACACATTTATTCCCATCTTGAATTTTATATCTTACCATCGAGATCAAAGTGCTCAGCCCACCAAATCAAAATGTCACGATACTTGAAAGCCTACTTTTTTATCAATGAAAATCGGTTGTTTCTTTCACTTGTCTTGTGCCTTTCCAAGCCCTCTTATTTTCCTAACACAGTGAATGCGACTCTCATTTATATCCCCCCCTCACTTGAAGATATCACCTTGGAAAAATAACATGAAGGAAAGAATGCCCCATAGCAAAACCTCTCTGTTTCTGTAGCTCCTTTCATCTGTTCCGTCTCTCTCTCTCTGTCTAATGGAGAAATGAGGTCGCTGATCATGAGCCATGGCGTCTTCTTCATCACAGCACTTCTCCACCTCTTTCTTCTCCACCAGCCCGTCTCCTATGCCGGCCGATGGCATCTCCTGAGTTCCCCTCCTTTTAAGGTACCATCGCTTTTGCATTTTCCTTAACATTTGTTCTTTTTTTTAGGTGCGGAGTTTGCATGTGCAGATTGTCAGAATTCTGATGGTATTATATTGAATATCATCATAACAACATCAAATTCGAATTTATCTGCAATATTTTTATTTTCTGACTATAGAGCTTTGCTCTGATTTGGTGGTGGAATGGATGATTTATGGAATTGGGAGGTGGTGCAGGAGGAGAAGATCCGGTTGGGATCGACGCCGCCGAGCTGCCACAACCGGTGCAACGCTTGCAATCCCTGCAAGGCGGTCCAGGTGCCAACAATGCCGGTCCCGAATGGCAAGGTTAGCCGGCTGGGGGTGGAAGATGGCCGGACGCCTGATCAGCCGGCATACAGTCAGTACAATTCCAACTATAAACCTTTGGAGTGGAAATGCAGCTGCGGGGCGCGGATCTTTAACCCTTAGATGTGAGATAAAAGGTAGCTTTTTTCCCGTTTTTTATTTTTTATTTTAATTTAGTTGTGGTCTTGTGGATCAGAGCTTCTTCCCCTTTTTTTTTATCTATTTTAATTTGTAGTCATTTGATTTTTCAACTTTTTTTTCAAGGAAGATTTTTAGAATTTTTTTATGAAAATGGCTTGAGTTGTAGTGCATTATGCTTGTGGAGTGGGAGGAATTGAACGCGGCTGAAATTAATTTGTGATTTGTATTTCATCTCTCTCTCTCTCTCTCTCTCGTTGGTCCTTTTTTGAAGGAAAATTGTGCGTTGCTTGTAAATTCCCTTTTTTTTATTTTTTTGAAATGCTGTGGCTGATTAATTAGTCTGATGCATGAAAGGTAAGTTTTGTTTTGTTGGATGAAAATTAAATTATTTATATTTATATTTATATTTATATTTATATTTATATTTATATTTATTTGTTATGATATATTTGAAAAACTATCCATTTGTTTTTTACCCCCAAACTCTCAAAAGAGGCAACATGCTAGATGGCAAGAGGCGTTACATGCTTGGGGCTATGGAAAAAGATGTAAATTAAAAATGTCAAAAATTGGCCCTAAATGTCAACTCAACCCAAATCTAACTCAAAAAATCTTAGTTCAGGTTAAAGAATATTTTCTTTTTTGTGACGGGAATGTTCTAGTTCAAGTTTGAGTTAAAGCTCCTAATCTGTTTAGTTTTTTGGATCGGGTTCAGGTTAACTTGCAAAACTATAAAACGACCCGCCAACTATAAACTGACTTGAAATCAACCCACCAACCCAAAAAAAGACTCGAAATTGGCCTGAAATTAATAAAAGTTTTAACCCAAATAGCGGTTATTGCTTATGTTAAATAGGTTATACTGGCAGAGTTCAAGTTAGCGGGTTGAAGATTGGTCAGGTTCGAGTTGGGATTTTTCGACCCGTATATTATTCGGATTGAGTTCAGGTCAGACTCACAACGAACTCATTGACTCGAATTGACTTATCTAATCCAGATTAGGCGGTGTGTTGAGACGGATGAGTTGCCCATGTCGCCAATGTGGTGTGGGGTGAGAGGGCAATGTAAAAAAAATGAGAGTAATGAAGAGCAAGTGTGCTACACAATTAAGAATTTAAAGGTGTGTTTGGGGCAGCGGTGTAGTTAGGGCTGTCAAAACGGCTCGTTGTTCGCGAATAGCTCATGTTCGGCTTTTTAAGAAGTTCGTGTTCGGCTCGTTCGCAAAGTTAATGAGCCGAACACGAACAAAGATTTGTTCGTTCTTGTTCAACTCCTTTTGGCTCGAAATACTATATATATATATATATATATTGATGAGTAGTATTTTTTTAAAAAAATTAATTGACAACAAGGCTAAAAAAATTATAATCAATTAAAAGTATTAATCAAGAAAATGGAATAAAAATCATTAAATTAGATTCAAATGATCTTTTAATATAAACAATTATTTTTAAAATTTGCCCCAATCCTTAACGTTTTATGGCTACGTGATTAATGTCGTACAAAATGATTCTTTGTTCGTGAACAATTCGTGTTCAACTTGTTAAATAAATAAGCCGAACACAAACTCACTTTTTGAGCTCGTAATATAAACGAGACTCGTTTACACCCCCTACACAAAACGACGTCGAAAGTAATTAGGTATAAATTTTCTTGTTTTGTTGTGGCACATGGACCACGGCTTCCCTCGTGTTCGGCTTGTTTACACCCCTAGGTGTGGTATCGTAATGCAGTTTTTTTTGTTTAGCAAAACTGTTTTTTGTCTGCATTATCGAAAAGCTGCAGTATAAAACTGTGTTTTTCCGTCGGGTTTCGTTAACTATAGCGGCTGTTAAAACGCTACGGTATGACTTTTTCAAAAAAAAAAAAATTCTTATAATAACCACCCAACTTTTTTGAACATCAATTTCTTCTTCAACAGCTTCAAAACTGCTTCTTCAAATAATTGGAGTTACCCGTAACAAAACCTAACATTCATTAATTCAGATGACTTCCGAATGTACATTTTTTTTTTGAATTATAACGGATCATTCAAAAATTTGTTTTGTATATTTTATTAATTTCAAATCAAATAATAAAAATAAAAAAAAAAACATAAGAAAGTAAAATGAGAAAAATGCTACAATAATTCCTTACTCTTTGTAGTGGGTTATTCTAGCTAGTCTAGAGTCTATATAAAATAACAACTTAGTCTTTAGACCATTTAATATGGGTTAAAATAATCCACACTGAGGGCTATTTTAACCCCTTATTAAAAGTCCGAAAATTTGTTTGCTATTTTCATGTACTTTGAGACTAAAATCCTGTCATTTAAATAGCCAGAAAACTATTTTGTGACTCTACTCAAAATAAAATACAATACATTCTAATTTTTATTTTCAGAAAAAGTGAGCTCAAAGAAAAATATGCACTACTAGATCGAACCCATGAACTCACAAAATGAAACCACACCTTAACCACTTCTAATTGGCTCCAAATTTTGCCATTTATTTATTGATGAGTGTCTTGTGATTATTTAATCTTCAAACTTTCTGTCCTCAATTCCACATCTTAAACAGCACCACCCGTGCGTATAATGACATGCATGATCATAATGAGGGCATATCAACGCGTAGTGCAGACTCATTTAGTGGTTAATTATGGCTAATGGTATCCAAGATCTATATAGAGCTTACATCCTGGTGTTTATTGTACTGAGAAAATATTATTGCAATTATGTTTGCATATATTTGTTAAATTTGTTCCAATAGTTATAGGTGATGAAGCAGTAACACTACTTCAGTCTTGCAACTATCTTATCAAATCGCTTCCTCTATTCCTTCCAGTGACAAAAAGGTTTGCCGTAAAGACTATACGTAAATGAATAGAAAAGACCCCACACTGTTGGAATATTTACTATCCTGATTTGTAACTTGTAATTTGGATCGTTGTGTCACGGGCCAAAAGGAAGCCCCTTTATAGCTACTTTCTATTGGTTTGGCCCATTGGGGATGCAAGGACTCTTCCAGATTTTCGCAGTTCGGTGGGCAGCCTAATGGGCTGGGTAGGCCCGTTTGTATCGTATTATTGCTTTCTGTCCGATAGGCTCGTGTACCCTGCCGGTTCGGATGGGCCCGCTTACATAAATGCTAATTGTGGAGGAAGCCACCTTTTTTTTTAACCCAAAAAAAAAAACAAATTGTAATTAGTTTTTAGTTGTTAACCCAAAAAAAAAAAAACAAATTGTAATTAGTTTTTAGTTGTACATATTTATAGCATTAAAAATTTTCATATCACCAAAAAATACTATTATTTTAATTTTTAAAATATAAAATATGTATTTTCATGAATAAAAAGGATGTCGTGTATTTAAAAATAAAAGTTAAGGTATTAAAAAGCCTTCAGGTTAATTATATAAATATATGAGAAATTTCATGATATGTAAGAATGCAACATATGGCTACAGCAATTATGCAAGAACTTCTTTCCTTTATTTTTCAATGAAATTTCATTCAAAAGTTGGCTTAAAAAGCCTTCAGGTTAATTAACAGTTATTTACAACATTGTGTTTATCTGTAATTAAGTTTAATTAATCACTTATTAATCATAATGAAACCAAAGATTTAATATTAAGTTATGAATGTGAAGCCCATTTTACAATCAATCCGAAGCTCTTAAATCAAATATATCCAAGCTGATTTTGCTCTGGTGGCACAAAAAATTTTTCCATACGAACGCATGCAAAGATGCATGCGGTGTCCGATATCGACCGTCGATCACCGCAAAGATGTATTTCGGTGAGCCCCACTTTCAACTTTTTTTTTTTAAAAAAAAATTGTTATTGCGGTGATAGACGGTAGAGATCGGACACCGCATGCATCTTTCGAAACAGCCAGTTATTGCGGTGATAGACGGTGGAGATCGGACACCGCATGCATCTTTCGAAACAGCCAACTGGTTTATCTGAATAAGCAGCAGTTACCCAATCAACCCCTAAGCTTTCAACTAACAATCTAAAATAACTTGCTAAAAACTTATACCTTTGCCATTATTTATATTTTCGAGTTGAATATAGACGTGAACATTGCCCGTTAACTGGCCTTTTAAACATAGGATCCGTTTGGGACATGGTGCGGTGGTGGTGTGACACTGAACCGAAATTTTGTCTGTTTGGGTGAACTGTGTTTTAACAACTTTTACAAAATGTTGCCGCTAAAATCTGTGTTTTCCTTCCAATCCTGACTAGCTGCGGTGACAGCTTACTAGTAGCAATCCGTCTTTTTCAAAAAAAAAAAAAGCCATCACGATTTTTTGAACATTAAATTATTTTTAAACAATTTCACAACTATTTTTTAATAAATTATAATTTCTCAGATAGATTCTTAGTCGGTAGAATTATTCTTGTAGCAACTTTCTATATGTGTAGAGAAATTACTTACTTAGGTTATATATAAAAATCAAATTTTACAGAAAATAATTTTATTTACTTCATTTTCAAATAAATGCAATATCCAATAATCAATCAAATTTTTCATTGTACTATTCCCAAGAAAAAATAATTTTTTAAAAATTTATATTAATAAATTTTAGCCGAATAATCTAGTTCCAATTATTTCCTTGTCTTGGCCTGCATTACCAAAGAACGCAGCCAAGCACCTCATTTTAAATCATTATTTTGCCGCAGCCCTCAATTGACAAAACATGAGAGGACGAACCCATCTGACTAGATATGACTTTTTTTAACAATTTTTAAATAACAAACATTTAATTTCAGGCAATTAATTCAACTTTTACTTTCTTTAAGCGGTGATCGTCATTTTGAATCAAAGCTTTTTTGTCGTAACATGTATTCACTTATAAATAAAGATAAATTTGGTAACTGTTATATGACTTCTATTTTAGCATAATTTTAATTTGATAATTCTTTTCCCTTTTATTAAAATGGTTAAAAAAAATTAAAATTTTGGAAAGATGTAAATTTAAAGAAATGATTTATATTATTAGTTTAAATTACCAATAAATATAAGGGGCATTCTCTTACATACCATCCAATTCTTATGTATTTACATATCTAATACCAAAATTTTATTTTGCTATTTCTATACCATCCAAAATTTTCATATTGTATCTAAACTATCACTCTTTCAATTTTTAAAAAATAAAAATACATTTTTTCATATATATAATTACATAAGAATTGAGAGTTGTATGTATGTTAATCTTCAAAAGAAAAAAAAAAAGAAAAAACATAATTTCTATATTACAAAATAAATTATTTTTAGTTAGATCTTAAGTGCCCACTTACTCTATCATACGCTATATTGATTTAATTTCACAGTCAAAGGAGCGATTAAAATTAGTCACTAATTGAGATTTTGTGGGGCATTTACATACATACCACCCATTTCTTATGTATTAACAAAACTTTCATCAATTTTTTTTCTTTTTTACATTTTTACCGTCCAAATTCTTCCTATCACATCAAAAATATTAATAAGCCGTACGGTACGTATAAATATAAATTAAAATTTAGAGGTATGATTTGTCAATACATCGGAATTGAGTTCTATGTATGTAAATCTTCCTTTTTTTGGCAATCCATCCAAGAACACATTTAGCAGAAGACTCCCAACAGCCATGGCTTCCCCCAAACCTCACGCAGTTCTCATTCCCGAACCAGCACAAGGCCACGTAACACCTCTCTTGCAGCTCGCGAAGATCCTCCACCACAGAGGCTTCCAGATCACCTTTGTCAACTCCGACTACAACCACCGCCGATTTCTCAAATCCCGCGGCCCAACTTCATTGGACGGCATCCCCGGCTTCCGCTTTGCCGCTATTCCTGACGGTTTACCGCCGTCGGAAGACGAAGACGTCACACAAGACATTCCGCAGCTGTGTCTTTCTCAAGCGAAACACTCTGTTGCCCCTTTTAGGGAGCTGCTGCTTCGCCTGAACTCTGACGCTGGAACTCCGCCGGTGAGCTGTGTTGTGGCTGATGGAGTTATGACGTTTGCACAGAGAGTGGCGGAGGAGATGGGGATCCCCGCCGTCGTGTTCTGGACGACGAGCGCTTGTGGTTTCATGGCGTATCTTCACTTCGCTGAGCTGATAAAAAGAGGCTATGTTCCACTTAAAGGTGCGTGCTTGTTTTAATTAGTGTCTGTTTGT